CTAAGGCAGGCATGGTTCCCTAAGGGATTGTTTTGGCTCATTTTCCTTCTTTTTAAAATATAAAAGAAAGGGGGATCTGTCGGGAGCCGTAGGCCCCTACCCCAGGAAATAGCAAGACCTGATTCCTGGCAAAGCTGTTTTTCAGACATCAAGGCTGGCCTGGTTTGAGATTAACCAGATGACTATACTTGAAAGCCTCTCACAAACATGTTGTTCTAACCCGGGCACTTAACGTTTGAGAGACTCCCTCATTTTCTCATGTAATTGCTAAGAAACTTTGGTATTACTCTGTAATCACACAAGTGTAACCTCTTAATTGATTTATAACTTGCTATATAGAATTGTGGTGTTACTATGGAATTTACTCTGTGATCAATTGGTGTGGTGTAATCATGATAATTGTTTTGTTAATAGAATTGCTCTGCCTCAATAGATTTGTCCCTGGCAACTTCCCCTTCTGCTTCCCTATAAAAACTTTGTGTAGATGTTCAATAAATGAGACTTGATCAGAAAGCCTGTCTTGTCTCCATTCTTCACGTCTCTTGTCCCTTTCTGTGCCCTCTCCTCTCTCCAGGTACCCACGTTGACTGTCCTGTGGGTCGGGACACCCAGGTAGAGAAAATTGACAGAAATCCAGATACCACAATAATTACACTGATCAGAATAGAGAAACGTCTAATGCTCTAAACGCAGAAGCATCAATATTTCTGGATTATTAAGGAACCACCCAGATCAGCTGATTCTCTCTGAGGTTATTTCTTTTCATACTTACTACCATCTATCTGTTAAATTTCATTCATTTGTTATTTTCTTTTGGCAGCAGGTCTTAACAAAATATTTTTAGATTAAGGAAATCATATGGGTCAATATTGCTGATCTGGGATCCAGGGTTCGTGTGAGAATCATGTGGAAATCTGAATTGCAGATTTCAGAAATTGAAGATTCCAGAAAAATGGTGGCTCAATGGTTAAAACAAGTGGCTGCTCTTCCAGAGAATCTTGTCTTCCAGCACCCACAGGGCACCTAAAAAACAACTGTACATCTGTAACTCCATTTCCAGGGGATCTGACATCCTCTCCTGACTTCCACGGACACTGTATGACATGAATATGCTTACATATATACAGGCTTTCACTCATACACATGATTTTAAAAAATTTAACATGTTTTTTATTCACATATTGAAAAGATGAGGATTTTGTATCATTGAAGCTCAGAAACACTATATTAAGGGCAAAACATCAGTAGCCACACTCACATCCAAACATCTATAGTAATAAGAAATAGTATCGTACATTATAGAATGCTGAAAGAAAAAAACGTGTTCTCTAATCCCCTTCATTTAAACTTTGTTTCTTGAATCTCTTCAGGATCCTGTGACGAATCTGCTTGGTCTTCACACTGTAGACAATGGGGTTCATGAGCGGGGGAACCAGAAGGTATACATTGGCCATAAGCACATGGACAACTGGGGAAGCATTCTGTCCATATCGACGGATCATGGATAGTCCAATCATTGGTGTATAAAAAGTCAGAACAGCACAGATATGGGAAATGCAGGTGTTGAGGGCCTTCACTCTCTCTGCCTTGGAGGCTATGCTCAACACCGTGCCCAGAATGAGGAGATAAGACAGGAGAAGAAGCAAAGAATCCAGTCCCATGGAGCAGATGACCACCATGAGGCCATAGATGCTACTGACCCAGCGGCTAGATACTGTTGTCTTTATGAGGTCCTGGTGCAGGCAGAAGGGGTAGGAGAGAATATTGATCACATGATACTGAAGCCTCTTCAGAAGAAAAGAAGCTGGAAAGACCAAGACTAAGGCCCTTCCAGCAATTGCCAAGCCAATCCCAGTGACGACACTGTCGGTTAGAATGGCTGCATAGCGTAGAGGTTCCCGGATAGCTACAAGGCGGTCGAAGGCCATGGCCAAGAGCACAGCTGACTCAATTATTGAGAAAACATGAATGAAATACATCTGGACAAGACAGGCATTGAAGGGGATCTCCCTGGCTTGGAACCAAAGCACACTGAACATGGTAGGTAAGGTCGTGGTGGAGAGGCCCAGGTCTGTGAGTGCCAGCATAGATAAAAAGTAGTACATCGGCTGATGCAGGGAAGACTCGGTTCTGATAGTGAAAAGGATGGTAAAGTTCCCTGCAACTGAAGTGGCATAAACCAAGAAGATGGGGATGGAGATCAAGCCATATCTGCTTTCAAGGCCAGGGAAGCCAGTGAGGAGGAATCGAGGGTACAGTGCAGAATTATTGACAACAGACATTGTATTGATAGAGGCACCCCAAGTCTGCAAGGGAAGAGAAGAGTATGGGAAATCAGGGTAAAGGTCAACACTGTAATAAAGAGCAAAGGCTGGATATATCTTACCTTGTGCTTAGTATTTTAATCACCCCTCTGCTCATTATATTAAATTATCACCTGTATTGATTAAACCAATGAATCATTTATTTTTTTCACTATTATATTATTAAGAATTTATTAAAGGACATCTGTAATATAAGCTTTAAATACTTACAAACTAGTGGGCAGAGAGTTAAATAAAATGTTCATTTAACGCTTTAAACATGATTTCAAAAACACAAGATTTTAAAGCCAGGTGTGAGGGTATATATGCCTGTAATCCCAGCACTGGGGAGGTGGAGGCAGGTGGATCTCTGGGAGACTGAGGACAGCCTGGTTTAAGTAGGGAGTTCTAGGCCAGCTGGTTCTACAGGGAGACCCTGTCTCACAAAACAAAACAAAACAAAACAAAACAAAACAAACAAAGCAAAACCAGAAAATGATCTAAACAGAGAAGCACTAAACTTAATTTAGGATACCAAAGATTTATTTAAAGTGGACTCTTGAACAGGGCCTCAGATGATAGCTATGAGTTAGGTGAAATCAGAGGGCTGTGATGTGCTTCTTGTACTAATGGGGCTCCATGCATGTGAGGAACTAATGGAACACAGTCTTATGTCCAGTAGGTGCATTCCAAGGTGCTCAGGCAAGCCAGACACTGTGTAAACAACATTTTATGTGCTGTTTCTTCTATACACATATATTTGTGATGAAGTTTAATTAATAAGTTCAACTTACTAGTAAATTAATAACTAATAAATAAAAGTTATAAAATGTGTTGACAAAAGTTATTTAATACAAATTATTTTTTTCTAGAATTTTCACTTAATAGTTTTAGACAAAGGTTGGCACCATACAATGAAATGGCAGAAAGCAGCACTGTGAGAAAGAGAAGATGATGTGGTGTGTAAAGATGCAGGGCCAGAGTGGCTCTTCACAGGGCTGTGAAATTGAGTTTAAGTAAAAATGAAAATAATTTTAAGTAAAAGTGGACTAGAAATTCTAAAAACAAATACTTGTAAATCTAGAGAGCTTAGATTTACTCCTGCAGAACATAAAGTACTAATTATAATAAAAGTAGCCAGCTTGAACAGATTTGTAGTCCATAGTATCAAAGGATCAATATTAGGAATGGTCTACTGGTCAAGAGAGAGGACAGGAAAAAGTCTTTAGGAAAATACTGTAGCAATAAAACAGTGGATGAAATTAACTTTTAGTAGTATTACAAGGGATAAATAAGTGTAAATATTATGTACAGAGAAAATAATCACAGATAATACAAATCATCATATGGTAAGAATAAAGCTAAGACATCTAGAATAAGTTCACTTATTTTGTTGACGTTTGCCATTTGTCTAAAAAAACAGGATTTGTCTAAACTAGTAGACAAGATGAATCCAACGAGGTTATAAAAAACATGAGATGTAGGTGTGTAGAGGAGTTGGTAAGCTGTGCCAAGCAAAGAATTTGTAATGTGTAGTAGAAGAGAAGAAAAAGTTTTCATAGAAAACAGAAAATGAAATCAAAGTAGGAAGGCACTGTCCAGTTACAGCAGAGTTTAGAGCTCTCTGTGTATCGGGGTATGCCACTTACAGGTATGGTCTGCTAGGCACCAGGCATTACATAATGGTTGCTTTCCATAGAATATTGTATACTAAAAAGTTATGAAAATTCAACAGCTGAGCAAGTTGTTTTCCTCCATCAAAGAAATCACAACTCACAGTTTTCTCTGACTATGCTAATTATATAACAAGTGATTCTGTACTGCTGTACAGAGGTTAATAGAAATGTTCTGGTATGGTAGTGTTCCCTTCCGTTTTTAGGAGCAAAAACAATCAAAAGATATTTGGGTAAATGTATATAAAATGTCTGACACAGTATCTGATACTTGAGAGATCCTTTGATCTCAGGTAAAGGAAACTATTAAACACGATGATGAAACAGCCAGGAGCTTTAGCACAGTGTACATAGACACTGGCCCAAAGGAAGGCAGTGTGACCTGCAGCTCCTAGGCAGGAACTAGTAGTCACTTGTAAAATAATAACTTCAAGAGCTTCCTTGAATCACTGTGCTTCTGCCTTGTGTCTCCTCATAGAATTCTCAGGTGCTCATAAGAGATGACAGAGTGGCATAGAAGAGGCATTCAAAGCATCAATAGCATCCCCCACCTCACCAATTTTGACACTAACTTTTACCTAATATTAATAGCAATGTCTTTAGAGAACATAGATTTCAATGCATGAATTCTCATCAGAATTACTCTCTGTAGCAGGAAATAAGTCTTCAGTATTCTCCCACCACTGTATCAGGCTGGACTGGAGGAATGGCTATCCATTGTCTCATCTGTTCCAGAGCTGTGATTTCACATGCGGAGCGGTCAGTGAGCCTTTTCTCCTTGCTTTATACTTCCTGGATTCTGTAAATATCCATGTACCAATCTCACACCCACTAGTCTCACTTCAAAGCTCTCCTTTAGGCATACCCGAGTCCTTAATTGAGGACAGCTGCCCTGACCGATTGTACGGGTTTCCTGCCTGTCGATCTGAGTAACTTCTTATAGGTACAGAAATCCACTGAAGACAGGCAGAAGAGAAGAGAAGATGCACAGTGTGCCCCAGGGCCTGCAGCTCTTCAGGGAAATGTAGGTGTCCCCAGGCGAACATCAGTGTCTTCTTCCAAGACTGTAGAGCCAACACAAAGCATTTTGTGCCTTCAGCGTCTTTGTTTCTTTTCAGTAGGAATTTCATCAACACTTCATTTCTGCACTTAAGTATTCCACCTTCAAATCCCCCTTGACAAATACATTCCCCAGGTCCATTTTCTTCTCGGTTAAAAACTCTGGGGATGATCAATGATGTCAAAGATAATTATCCTGCTTAAGGGAAGGCAACAGGCATATCATCCTGGGCTTTCAGGTTGGGAAGCAACTGACAGGTGTCCCAACGACCATTTGATGAAGAAAATCAATGGGCTTACTCATGCAAAACTATGTATAAGAAACTGTACTTGCTTTGAATGGCCAGATACAGAACTTATTACCTGCTGAAGCCAGAAACATTTTACTTTATATTTTTGCAAACAATAGTCAGCAACGATAAAGCCCACCCTTGTTCATTTATTTTAGAGTTTAAAATTGATTATAAATTATAGGTTTATTACTCAAATGTAGTGTTTATGATAGCAGTTGTAAATAATGTGAGGTTATGAAAGCCACATAAAAGCACATCATAATCTCACTGCTTTCACCAGTCACCAGGCAGCGTGGTCACATCCCACCTCACATCCTCAAATACTACTGTTCACATTCTGCCACTGAGAAACCCTGGATTTTATGCTAAGTGGTATGTATAAGGGTGAATAATATACAAACACGTATGACTAAATCTTAGTAAAGAAATACGTTCTCCCAAAGAATAATAGTAAAGGATACCTTTGTATCCTTTGTAAAGTACTCAGCCAATAAATATAAAAATGAAGAGTAGATTTATCAAAAGTCTACTATTTGGGGCTCTGGGGATGGTGCCCAGAAATTTCTTAATTGCTGCATTGTTAGTATTTCTCACAGTCTTTTTGCTTATTTTTCTCATAAGTCATAAATTATCAGTATTTCTCCACCTAAAGGGTAAATTACCATTCACGTTTATCACTTTGCTTATATTCTCTTTAATATAAGGACAATTCAAGTCATTTCCAATAAACTCTTTACTGAAGTAGTGGTGGGGAGCTTCATGATCTATAACATTTAATAATAATATTATGAGGTTATTTTGCCTGGATCCAACATCACAACCTCATGGATATCAAATAGACTTTATAACCGTACTTTAGATTCCTGTGTGTAGGTGTGTAGTTCTCTTAAGAATGCAAAGTCACCACTCAGTAGTAGAGAAGCTTTTTTTTTTTTTTTAACCTCAATTGGAATCTATTACAGAGTTCCACAACTGTTCACACACAGAGAATAAGTGTTTGTGCCCAGTCATGTGTGACACATCTACAATGGAACCTCTACACCTTTCTACCTCACAGAACATAGTGGAACAGGGGGCAGAGAGAATATTAAAACATCTCTCAACTCTCACCAGCAAAGCTTCCTCATGCAACAGAAGTCAATTAACACAGAAAGCCACATTTGGCAAAGTGCAGAGAATAAGAAACTACAAAGTACATGTCCCTGGATAGGATTATTATGTTAAACCTCACCCACCCAGGCTCAGGAACCATTGCAGATGAGTGGGCACAAAGACTGTTAGAGCCAGGGGAGGTGGATGATCAAATAATCTTTTGTTTATACATAAAGCATCAAGAAAAACTCAAGAGGTATAATCAGAAATCAAAAGAGTACAGAAAGGCTGGAGAATTGACTCAGCAATTAAGAGCACTGGCTGCTCCTGCAGAGGACCTGAGTTCATTTTCCAGTACCCACAATGGCAGTTATGGCTAACAACTACCCATAACTCCTCTGCTAAAGGATTCAACACCCTCTTCTGGCCTCCACAGGCATTGCATGATACCAGGTGCACTTACATGCAGGCAAAACACTCATCCACATAAAATACATTTAAAAAGAAGTCAACAGAAAATTATTGGCATACAAATAATTTTAAAGTCATAACACATAGTAAAGTTTAAGGAGAAAAGGAAAAAGAATGACCAGTCTTTAGAAAGTGCTCTAGAATTTTTCCATCTGAAATTAGAGTTCTGTAGATACTCAGGAGTTTTCATTTCTCTTGAAACTTATTTAAAAGTATTTTGAAAAGAAATAAATAGGCTGAAATACTATTTTAATTAGTTATTTGAAATATTTAATTGAGGAAAAACAAATTTCACAAATGCCTTTTCAGGGTGTATAGAATCAAATATTATTTAAGAAAGAATAAAGTGTATTACAAAAACACGGAAAGGTATCACACAGAACACAAGCAT